TTTTTTTTTTTTTTTTTTTTTTTTTTTTTTTTTTTTTTTTTTTTTTTACGTTCACTTATTTTTTTATAAATTTTATTATTATAAATTTTTATAAATTTTATTATTATAATTTAAAATGTTAAATTTACCTCTATTTTTTAGGAGTTTGTTCGAATTATTGTAATAAGATATTGACTATTATTTATAGATTTTCATAGAAATTTTAACTCTTATCAATCCCAAAGAATCATTAAAATTTTTAGTAAAATGTGATGCTCAAGTTTTGATTCAACTTCAGGGTAATTGATCGAACTAAGCAGCATAAAAGTTGGCCGCTATGTATGTTTGAACACCCTTTTCAAGACTACATAGCTTGCATGTCGGACTATAGTATAAAACATGTTCTAATCTTTTTTATCCACTTATATAAAATATTAAAACCTTCGACCAATACGACAATTAACGTCTATAACATCTCTATCATGTCAGGTAAGATATTTTGGATGATCTCCATTTTTCGCCTTATTCAAGATTTGACTTCTTATCTCATGGTTGAGATCAAAATTTAACAATAGTTGACTTATATTCATATTAGCTTCCAAATGTGCGAGTGCGAGTGCTCGTGACAAAAAGTAACAGTACTTTTCTTAGAAGCATCTCAAACTGCCCTAAACATGGCTCCAGTATCCCCTGCAAGTTCGCCATTGTTGAATCTCAAAAACTTGTCTTTAAAGCTTAACTTTCCCCTTTATTGATGTTGCACAGGGAGATGAAAATTTTGTTCAGATGAGTACAACAAAAAAGAAAACATTGATATCAACCATCAAATGGTGTTAAGAGAGGCATTGAAAATACACCAAAGACAAGATTTATAATAATTCTAGCCTCGAAGACGCTTCAACAACTAGAAACGAGTTTCTTCGAGACACTTATAAGTCATTTTTGAAATAGCAAACAGACATGACCTCGAGACGCTCGAGTCACACCAAGCATTCGTTTATCTGGGGCAGTTTCATTATTTGCAGTTCCCATCAAAGTTGGAATTCCCTACATAGCATAGGATAAGAAGTGTTCAGTGTTGTCTCATAAGATGGGGAAAAAAAAGAGAAAAGTCTTACATGATGCTTGAAAACAAGGTTCACACCTCTACTAATGAGTGTAAAGAATTGTGCAGAAAATTGAATCAATCTTTTTTGCATCATTAACTGAAGAGAAGAATCACCCAGAATAAGTGAAAATGTCTAACAACATTGGATAGATGAAATTCTTAGAAAGAAAACCATTAAAAATGCAATGGGTCCCTGATTTCTGCACGAGTCCTTTGATTGACCCACACAATGCCAGGCCACTTCTTTTTACTTGAACGTCCAATGATCAACAGCTAATGAGAACTCATGCTCACGAGTCACTAATGAGTCCTTTGATCGACCCACAGAATCATGGCAAAAAAAGGGTAAATATAAAATAACTACGAAGAATGTTTTGTAACAGCTCAAGCCCACCGTGAGTAGATATTGTATGTCCGGCCCGTTACGTATCGTTGTCAGCCACACGGTTTTAAAATGCATTTACTAAGAAAAGGTTTCCACACTCTTATAAGAAATGTTTCCACACCCTTGTAAGAAATGTTTCCACACCCTTATAAGAAATGTTTCGTTCTCCTCTCCAATAGATGTGAGTTCTCACATGTTTATGTTTATTAGTAACGACTGCAGCAGGAATTTCCAAGTTTGAAAAGCTGCATCATGAACTTGCCTGCTTTCCTATCCAAAAAAGCAAGAAAAGAAAAATTACGTTCTGCAATTTGACTTAAATGAGATAGGAAGGACGCTCTTCATTGCAGTTGGCTAGGGAATTTTAAGTGGCTTCTAACATCATCCATTCTCCCCATAGGTGGTTTTTCTTCCAGTATTCATAAATCAAACCCGTTTCAGGAAAGAGGTAAAATAATCAATTAAATTAAAATATCCATTCAGATCTTACATGTTTACTTGCATCAGCGAATCAATATCAGACGACAGTTTTCACCTTTGGGATGCTGATTATTGGGCTACAAGAGCCAAGTTAAATCTACTAGAACAAGCTCATCTTATGTTTGCTAATCAAAGTAGAGTGGAAAAGATTCAAATAAACCTGAAAGAGAATCCTATGCAGCTGCCTGGATCAACTCCCTTTCTGCATGCTCTCTGATCCTTCTTTCAAGCTCAGGCCTAAAATGCCTTATAAGACCCTGCACAGGCCAAGCAGCAGCATCACCAAGGGCGCAAATGGTGTGCCCTTCAATCTGCTTGGTAACCTCTTGTAGCATGTCAATTTCTTCCAGCTTCGCATTTCCAACTTTCATTCTTTCCATTATCATCCAAAGCCATCCTGTACCTTCTCTGCAGGGAGTGCACTGTCCACAGCTTTCATGCTTGTAAAAATAAGAAAGCCTTGCAATAGCATCCACAACATCAGTTGATTTATCCATAACAATTACAGCAGCAGTGCCTAATCCAGACTGGACAGCCTTTAGTGCATCATAATCCATAAGGACATCATCACATATATGCTTGGGAAGCAATGGAACTGAAGAACCTCCGGGAATTACTGCAAGCAAGTTATCCCATCCACCTCTAACCCCTCCACAGTGCCTTTCAATTAACTCTTTCAGTGGAATGCTCATTTCCTCTTCAACAGTGCAAGGCTTATTCACGTGTCCCGATACACAAAACAATTTGGTACCAGAGTTGTTCTTCCTCCCAAAACTGGCAAACCATTCGGGTCCACGCCTTAAAATAGTAGGAGAAACAGCCACGGTCTCCACATTTGTAACAGTGGTAGGGCATCCATATAAACCTGCATTAGCAGGGAAAGGAGGCTTCAATCTTGGTTTCCCTTGTTTCCCTTCAAGGCTTTCCAATAGAGCTGTTTCTTCACCACAAATGTAAGCTCCAGCACCAAAGTGGATGTGAACATCAAAATCATAACCAGTTCCACATGCATTCTTGCCCAATAATCCAGCTTCATAAGCCTCTTTTCTGGCCTTTTCAAGGTTCCTTCGCTCATTCACATACTCACCTCTGATGTATATATAAGCTGCAGTAGCCCTCATCCCAACTCCAGCAATCAGACAACCTTCCAAGAGTTTGTGTGGATCGTGCCGCATGATTTCCCTGTCCTTACAGGTTCCGGGTTCACTTTCATCAGCATTAACAACAAGATAGGAAGGGCGACCATCAGATACTTTTGGCATGAATGACCATTTGAGTCCAGATGGAAACCCAGCACCTCCACGACCGCGGAGGCCAGACTTCTTGACTTCATTGACAATCCAATCGGAACCCTTGAGTACTAAATCTTTAGTTCTGCACCAATCACCACGTTTCATGGCACCTTTGAGAAAGGGGTCATGTAAACCGTATAAGTTGGTAAAGATTCGGTCCTCATCCTTCAAGCCACCAAAATGAGTTTTCTCTGGAGGTGGAGGAGGTGGGGGAGGCTGAGGGCTGCTACTAGCAGCTGCACCCTGATTGCTAAATGCTCTCAACCCTATACCCCATCTATCATTATAACTCCTTGTCAATACTGTTCGTTGAAGATAGAGCATGCCCCGAACAGGTGCCTAAAGAATAGTACATATCAATATACTAGGTCGCTGAGTGAATAATTTTTGGTAATTCAATCACGTGTAATGTAAACCCAGTTAATGATAATCAGTTTCAATGTGGAAATAACAAAAACAAACAAACAAACAAAACAAGAAGAAGAGAAGGATGAACTTAAAAAACCACCGTGAATTTATTCACAGACTTAATGCCAACTTACAAACAGATGCTGAAGAACGTAAAAACTTCTAATCAAATAGTTATGTCCGTGACAATTTTTGAACGATCAGTACAAATAGAAAAATCAAATCGAAACAACAAATCATCATCTAAATTTCTTCGAAACATTCAAATTCAAACACTAAATCAGAACAACCCGGAAACGAAATTCGAAATAAAGAAAGCGACAGAAAACAAATGAGAAATTAGTAATCGGCGCCGAAGAAATACAGATTCCTTACCATAGCATGAAGTGCTTCAGAAGGCGATAGAGGGAGATTGCAGGATCGAAGAGAAGAGGGAGGTCAGAGAGGTACAGAGATGTTTGCCGAGTAGCGATCTGGAGTAAGCAATAGCTACGGTTGCGATTTCCTGATCACGATGGTATTTACATCGAACGGCTGAGATTGAATTGCGCTTCGTGATGGTTAAGAGGTACACGTAAATACTAAATCTTAAAAATATTTGCAGCCATTAATTTAATGTGATCAATTAATTTGTGGAAAATACATAATTAAATTTGTCCAAAATAAAATAAAACCCATCAATACATAAACTAAATATGGTATTTTAATTAAAAAAAATTATTATGGATTATTTTTTTTGGAATGTAATTAAAATTTCTTTTGCTGAGATGTGAAGCAATGTTAACATTTATTTTCCTTCCGAATAAAGAGAAATAACAAACATAAAAAAAGGCAGATTCGAAGCTTGGGATATGGATCGATCATTTTCTTGTGCAAAAGTGCCCAAAATATAGTCAAAGAGGCATATCTCCATTTCTGTTCCTTCCTAACTCAACGGTCCTGGTTATCATAATCTTCATGTGATGAACAATTTGATTCCAACCAACTACTATAATTCAAGACCAGAAATAATCCTCGGTATGTTCGTCAGCAATCTACTTGATTCTGTTCGAACCCTTTCCCTCAAAACCCATTACCAAATTGTGTTGCTGAGAGAGCTTTGATCTTCAACTTCAATGGCTGGGCTTGAAGATTCTCGAGCTCATCTTCCACTTCTTGATTCAAAACAGAATCAGAGTTCACAAGCGCCCAGGCGAGGAGATGAGGAAGAAGAACACTTGGACAGAACACTGGAGCTGCTGGATACATTGCTTGGCCTTTTGGGGTTCCATCAATCCTCTGTTTTGAGCTGTGCTCTGTCTTGGTCTGGTTTTGTTCTTGTCGGTGTTGTTCTGCCTGTCGTGGTGTTGGAACTCGCTGATTGCGCTGCCTGTGAGATGTTCCAGATTAAGGATTTTGAGGTTAACACAGTGGTCTCACAAGCTTGTCTTGCAGCTGTGTCTCTGCTTTGTCTTTCTCACAACCTCAGAAAATATGGCATCAAGAGGTTCCTCACTGTTGATAGGCAGATCAGCTCTTTGGCTCGGTGTCGCAAAGACTATGTCAAGAAGATTCAGGTGAGCTTCAATCTGCCGTTTGAGAAATAAAAACACTAGAACCAAGATCGATCGATCGCACTCACACACCCACAGATAAAAATTAACAAAGTGTTTACAAAATGTATATCTCACGTTTTCATACTACAATGTCTCTCAACAAAACTCCCTCCCAAATATCATTTAACAAATACAAAATGACACTCAAATTCAATACTTTCAACCATCTTAGATAACCCTTCATACAGGCATATATGATTCATGTATCAAAATCCTTTATACATACATATATGATTCATATAACAAAATCAGAATACGAATCAAAAAAGTTATGAACTACTAAATAAATGTCAATACATGCATAGGAGATGCATGAACCTATTGTTCATGACAACGTACAACACTAATGTGTGTGCATCAAATGTGTTAATTTTCACGATATCTCTGTCACGTGACTTTGAACTATGTGCTAGGGAAGGTGCTTGGTTTGACTATCTATCTTCACAGGGATCAATACGTTTGCTCGTCTTCTGGGCACTTCCATGTTTCATTCTGAAGTCTACTCAAGAGGTAATTCGAATATTACATGCGGAAGGAGTATCATCATGGGGGCTATCTGTTGGTATCTTACTGGCTATGACCATATCTTGGACTTATCTGAGCATGGTCTCTTTATCAGCCGCCATTGTATTTCATTTGATGTGCAATTTGCAAGTGATACACTTTGATGAGTACGCCAAGCTACTGCAAACCGAGTCTGAAGTTTTGTTTTTAATAGAGGAGCATATTTTCCTGCGCTATCATTTGTCCAAGATAAGCCACAGATTCAGAATCTTTCTTCTTCTACAGTTCTTGGTTGTAACTGCTAGCCAGTTCATGACTCTATTCCAGACGACAAGATACAGTGCAATGATTACCCTCATAAATGGTGGTGGTTTTGCAGTAAGTTCTTCGGCTTTTTGCTACCTGCAACTATCTTTTTCAAATACATGTAGCTATGAGTTCAGACTTAGAGATGGGATTATATCCAAGGTTTTATGTTGATTTGTCAGCAAGAGAGTCAACCCAACCCTTAAAGCTTGATGGTAATGGTTCAAACCCACGCTAATAGATATTGTCCTGGGTTTTCCCTTTCGGGTTTTCCCTCAAGGTTTTTAAAATGTGTCTACTAAGGAGAAGTTTCAACACCCTTATAAAAAATGTTTCGTTTTTCTCTCCCACCGACGTGAAATCTCACAATCCACCCCCTTCGGGACCCAGCGTCCTTGCTGGCACACCGTCTCATGTCCACTCCCTTTCGGGGCCAGTCTCCTCATTGGCACATAGCCCGGTCTCTGACTCTGATACCATTTATAACCGTCCAAGCCCACCACTAGCAAATATTGTCCTCTTTGGGCTTTCCATTTCGAACTTCACCTCAAGGTTTTAAAAACGTAGGGAGAGGTTTTTGCACTCTTATAAGGAATGTTTCGTTCTCCTCCCCAACCGATGTGGGATCGCACAATCTACCCCTTTCGGTGCCCAACGTCCTTGCTGTCAATCGTTCCCTTCTCCAATCGATGTGGGACCCCCTAATCCACCCCTCTTCGGGACCCAACGTCATTGCTAGCAAATATTGACCTCTTTATTCCCCTTCTGAGTTTCTAAAAAACCTGTGCTAAGGAGAAATTTCCACACCCTTATGAAGAATGTTTCGTTCTCCTCCCCAACCGATGTGGAATCTCACATTAATTAACCTTATTTTTTACTCTCAAACTTTTAGGTCTCTGCAATTGTTCAAGTGGTTGGAGTCATTCTTTGCTTACATGGAGCAACAAAGATTTCCCACAGAGCCGAAGGAATCGCATCAGTAGCTAGTAGATGGCATGCTCTTGTCACTTGTGGTCCAGGTGATGTATCTCAGCCTCGATATCCAAATGACAACGCAGACGCTACCAGTAGGCTGAGCACAATGGCTAGCACTTACTCCGAAAGTGATTTGGAGTCCTTGGATATTGTTATTACAATGCCGACAACCACACAGCTAGCATCTTACATGTCCTCCTATCATAAAAGAGAAGCATTTGGTAAGAAACTCAGACATTCATCAAGTAACCAACCATCTATGCATTTTCTTAGCACTATCAATAATTTGCTCGATAGTATCTTAAAAAGCTTCACTTACAATGCTGTTACTTACGATTTTAAGTTGGTCCCCATGGTGCAGTCATGTATTTGCATATGAATCCTGGCGGAATAACGATTTTCGGGTGGACAGTTAATAGAGCTCTGTTGAACACTTTGTTTTTTATTGAACTCACACTCATTACCTTCGTGCTTGGGCAGACCTTAGTTTTCTCCTGAAGTTTCAGAATTTTCAGTAGCCGTCCAAATGGTTCTGTTTGTAGAACCCTTCACATTCAAATGGCATACGTGTAAAATTATTCACTGGCTGGCGCCATTTTTGTATTCCAACCTGTTTTTTTTATTCGTTTGCGAGTAATCAATCCCAATGGTTGGAGTTATTTTCATTCTCTCGGGTCATAATTCTTCCTACTATGAGTTATATGTTATTTAAGCCATGATGTTTCTTTTCTTTCAAATCTTGCTTTCAACTCTCTTTCTAAAATCTCTTTCTACCCCGTTTTTGAGTTGACTGACTCATTCAATGGTGAGAGTGAGTGTTGCACAATTGTTTACAAAATTTCCCATAAGAGCGCGATTGTGACACTAAACAATGTCAATCACATTTGTAATCTTCTAAATTTTACCTCTTCTAGATTTTTTCCTAAAATATATATTTGTATATATAAAAAAACTTTCTACAATATTCTAGAAACATCTACATAATGGACACATACAATTATTGGGCTTGACTCGATTGGACTAAAAAAGTCGCAACCTAACCCAACCCAACCCAACCCAACCCGTGAACCCTCATACGATACATTGATTCAATCAAGAGAGAATGTGTTAAGAACAATAAAAATCATGGGTCATGGATAGTGACCAATTAATTTGTTTGATAATAATTTTGTTGGTAACTTATGGCAAGCTCCAAAAGTTGCTCCACAATGGAAAACCATTGAAAAGAGACAATAAGACACTACAAGCAACTAAAAACCAGAACAGACAATATTTCACTTCAAAATTTCAATATTTTATAACAATTCTAAGGTAAATGCATTTTACAGATAGTGAAGGGAAGAAAAGGGAAATAAATATTGAATGATTTTACCAGCAGCACAATGAAGGCAGCTTGAAGGAGAAAGAAGGCAAGTGGCCAGTCCTCCCAATATAATCAGCTTTTTCAGAAGTCCTTACAGATTTCTTATTTAGTTTTGCCTCTGCATTTGCACGTTTCTCTTCAGCTATTCTTCTTGTGGCTGCTACTTTATCTGCCAGCATTTCTTCCGCACAAGCTTTCATTTTCTCTGCCTTTTTCTGTTCAATACAATCAACAAAACATTCAGAACTGTTCATAGAATTCAATATAGAAACATTCAGAGCTTCGAGGAAGTGACCCTGCTGCAATTCAGTCGTTAAACCTACTACGTTTAGTTTCATATTTGTAATATGAGATCCCACATCGATTGGAGAGGGGAGCGAGTGCCAGCAAGGACGTTGGGACTGGAATGGGGGTAGATTGTGAGATCCCACATCGGTTGGGGAGGAGAACGAATCATTCTTTATAAGGGTGTGAAAATCTCTACTTAGCAGACGCGTTTTAAAAAACTTGAGAAAAAGCTTGAAAGGGAAAGCCCAAAAAGGATATTAACTGCTCGCGAGGGGTTGAGCTGTTTCATGTAACCTTGAAAGCTTCGCAATAGCTTTTATGGGTGTTTTGATCTTTCATTGGATGTGAGAGAGAGGGGATAGAGCTCACAGTTAGTATAAGTTATGAATGAAGATCAATTGTGTTACGACTTGAGCTGACTAAAACGCATAAAAAAAAGAGAAAATTGGGTGAGCTTTCCAGATTTGTGCTAGACAAAAAAATGGGAGAGCCTTGCTGCACCTTTAAAATCTTTAATCCAATCTTTCTATTTGATCTCTTTTGCACGTTTGAAGGAAATGTGTCATATAAGAAAGCTAACCACAGATACATTTTAGGAGGTTTAGCGAAACTAGAGGACTGTAATAAGAAGACAGATTGAAATCAAGCTCAACTGCACATTCAAATTAGAAACAAGTAAAAATCTGGGTGGGTACCTCAATTTTTCTCATTTTTGACTCAGCTTTCCTCTTCTCGCTGGTTTCCCATGCTTGTATCTTCACTTCTTCACGTTTGTACCTAGAAATGCAAAACAATCAGCATATCATGAACATCCAAGTTAAATCTAGCATTTTAGGCTCCTCAGATGTAGGCTTTCAAATGCAACAGCCCAATCCCACCGGTAGCAGATATTGTCCACTTTGACCCATTATGTATAGTCATCAGTTTCATGGTTTTAAAACGCATTTTCTAGGAGAGGGTCTAGCCCTACTCTGACCAGTGCCTCCTACCGCCCAGTAATTTGGCTCTGATACCATTTGTAACATTCAAAGCGCACTGTTAGCAGATACTATCCACTTCGACCCGTTACGTATCGTCATCAGCCTCATGGTTTTAAAACGTATTTACTTGGGAGAGGTTTCCATACTTTTGTAAGGAATGTTTCGTTCCCCTCTTGAACCAACGTGGGATCTCACAATTAGAGGGATTGCAATGGGGAAGAAGACATCCAATCATTTCAGTTTTTCCAGTTTGATTATTCGAAAGAATGTATGTCCCATTTCTCTGCTTTGAGTTTTATGATGAAAAACGAAAAGTCCCTCAAAATAGATTGCTTTCAAAACTTACAACGAAATTGCTGAACTTCAAAAAGAAAGCCTAAGTTATCAATCAGGTCATGTGTTAAGAACTAGACGGGCAAGGGCTAAACAAGAGGAGTAATGAAAAGGGTACAAAGGGTCACCTTGCAATATGCTTGGCTCGTTCGGCTTCATCCCATGCCGTTGCTCTAGTTTCCATAGAGCTCATCTTTACAACCTGATCAGAGCTCTGGTTTTTCACTACCATGGCAGTAGAAGCAAAACCTGCTTGACGATCTTCAATGGCCGGCATTTCATGGTGAGGCCTTGCTGGGGTGGAAGATCCAGAAGTTATAGGGCTCTGAAGCACAGGGGTGGTGGCTCTGACTGGAGTAGCCGTCCTCGAGGGCTCCTGACTCGCTATGGGAGTCATCTCTGTCCCCATGTCCCTCAAGCAAACAGACCTAACCACCGTGTTGCAGCTCTCCAATGGTTTATTGATTCTCCAGATGGGTTCATCACATTTCATCATCTTTGTTTCTGCTTCACTTTGACTGCTCATTGCAGAAGCAAAGTCACCATTTTCTTCTCGCCCTTCAGTCCTTTTATCTCCACCGCTCAAATACTCATGCTCCTGTTGTGGCACAGCAGCTATAAGCCGCAAGTCATCAGCATTCGAGTTTCTATGCTTGATTTTGGACTCCTCTTTTTCTCCTCCTATTGGCAACCGAAAAATCCATTTCTGTGCATCGTCCCACTTCGATGGAGTTGATTTAGCTGTGACCACCCGGCGATGGAAACTGCCATTAGCTCCATTTCCTCTTTGAAACTCAAAACTCATAGCCTTTTCATGTTTTGATCCATTTTTGCGATACCCATTCTCCTCCCTCCCCTTCATTTTGGTCCCAAAAAAAAAAAACTCTCACTCTCTCACAGTCATTTTGTCAAACACTTGGCGTGCAAGCTTCAAAGATCACCCAGAAAAACTGAACCACAACTTCAAATACATACCAAAAACAGATCTATATCCCATAAACATCCACAAAAACAACATAGTGCAAAGAAGTTAACGACATCGAGATTTCAATAGTAGCCGAAAGAGATATCCCAGAGCCCACAGAATAGAGAAAACTTTTCGTTCGCATTCAGAAGACGAATGAGGAAATGAAAGCAACAAAACCCGACAAGAAGTAGAATCTCACCATGTCTGAATGCTCAAACTTACGTCACTGAAGAAGATAAAGGGACCCATCTGAAGCAGTAAATAGCCATGAACATTAAGAAATTAACTCAAGAGTAAAAGAAGTGTGTTATTTCCATAGCAGAGAAGCTCAGAATCGCAGTGAAATTAGTGGAAGACAGTACAAACGTAATGATATGTAGAAGTAGAAGCTGCAAGGCACTGATTATATGAACTTAACAACATCGAAGAGATAATCAAATCAAAAGGGGCTGGTGGGTTTGGTTTGAAAGAGCTAAATTCCATGGTGAACTATAAATTTGACGCATTAAAAGCTGAGAGTGACAGATCTATCATAGAGAGGAATTATAAAAACGAGGGAGGGAATGGAAACAAACAAGCAAATCTGCGGCAACTTGGCAAGAGAATAATATATGAATTTGCATGGAAATTGATGGACTTTTTTCAGAGCAGTTCACATGGGCTGCAAACAGCAAACCGGTCAGAATCTATCCCCTCTCCCATGAAAGAATTCTTGAAAGTAATAATCCGAGTTTTTTTTCTTGAATGTAATAAAAACATTATCCTGAAAAGATTTTAAAATGATGAACTAATACTCATAAAATATTGCATTCGGAGAGAATTAAAATATATTTTAGAACATCGAGAATTCAAATTCGTAACTCGAATAGCGAACAGTTTAACGGGAATATAGAAATGGGCCATTAGAAAATTGGACACCAGACGATCCATGGCTGGGCCCATAAAAGATGGGCTGAGGCCCAAGTAAGTGTGGGTCCATTTGATCCAATTTGTCGATTTGATCATATATATATATATATATTTAGTCCTTTTACTCCGAATAAATATTAATATCGATCCATTTATTTTTTAAAATTCAAAAGAGGCAGTTATATGGGACACGTTATTTCAGCTTCAGAAACTTTAATTTCTTATAATGCTACAAAAGTCGTTGTATAAGTTACTTAACATAAGGAATATTAAAAGGGCAATTAAAATTACTTTTTGAAAATATTTTTTTAGTCCTTAAAAATTAATTCATTTTTTTAAAACATTATATTGATTTTGAATATGGCAATATAAAATGTTTTAAAATTATTTTCAAATATTAATAAATGTATTATTAAAATTTGGTGGGTTAGCTAACTCTCACTTTCCAAACCATAAACATTAGGGTTAAATCCAACAAAAAAAAAAAAAGAAAAAAAGTGCTCGCAAAGACAATTACCATTTAACCGTTTTCTCAACCCGCCGTTTCGGAGGAACGATTAATCCTACGGTGGTATTATGGTAATTTAATTATATTCCATCAAATTTACATTTTTAACCCTCCATCAAAGCTCAAGCTGTTCCTCAACTATTTCTTTCATAGTTCCTCCACTGGCTGTTCCTCAACTTTGGTTTCATCGCCACTTGACCACGTACACATTTCCTCCGGCGATTCCAAAGCCATAACTTGAGACATTCATTTTCTTGTTCTTTCATCTTTATAAATATCGAATCTGTTGGTTGCTTGCATTTCTGGCTACAATTTCGCGATTTCGTTCTGCTTCTGGGATTTTCTGTGTGCGGAGACCTCCCGGAGCTTTCATGGCGGCTATTACCGGTTCGAATGCTGTTGCTTTTAGTAAGGTTGGAATTTTTGGTAAATTTGAAGGAGGCGCTGGTCGGAGAGCCGGTTCTGTTCAGCAATGGCTCCCGATTAGCGGGGGAGCTGGATCGTCTCAGCTTCGAGGTCGATTTGGCATCCAGTTAAGATCGAAGAGTGCCTTTTCTTCTACTGGTATGACTGCTTACAATGTTTTGAGATTTATTTGTATTCGTGTTTGCTTTAGTGATTAGAAGCGAGTTGAGAGAGAGTGCATTCATAATCGATCATGGCGAGTGAAATGTGAACGCGTCCTTAAGCTCTTAATCATCCTGTTTATAATTGTTCGAGGTTTTGTGTCAATTGTTATCGGTAGTTGTTAAAGTCGGCCACCTTTACTATTCGGGAAGTTAGTTTTAGAAACTTTTGGTTATGCCTTTGGTATTAGGATCTCATCATTATAATGGACACGCAGGAATAAAAGCTCAGGTTGCTACAGCGGAACAGGCAAGCATTAAGGAAATCCAACAAGTGGAAGCGCCTGTGGCTATTGTGACTGGAGCCTCGAGAGGAATCGGAAGAGCTATCGCATTGAGCTTAGGAAAGGCGGGTTGTAAGGTACATCTCTTCTCTACTTGTGTATAAGGCTCTATTACTTCATTGTGGTTAAAAACGTTGCATGAGATCGGACTTGAAAATATGTTTCTTCCCATCGTGGATGCATTTTTTCTGCTAGCATTCAGTTTTAGAGATGAAATATGGAAAAAGGTTTTCTCTAATTGTATCCAACTGTTTTTTGGAATTTTTTCGTTTTTGCAGCATAAGCTGAATTCCTGTTTATGATTTGTTTTCAGAAGACATCATCGTCCAGTCAATTTCTGTACATTTCATCTGTTGGAACTATTAATTTTGAATTTTCTGTCAATCAAAATTTTTGTAGGTTCTGGTTAATTATGCTAGATCGTCAAAGGAGGCTGAGGAAGTTTCCAAAGAGGTAAATAATTCACCTATTTCAGTTTTCATCTCTTGAATTGTATTTGGCCATTCTGCTAATGATGTAAAGCCGAACATCTGGAGGCTGTTCATCAAGCAGAATGCTCAAAAGACGATGAGAAGGGACTTGGAAATTTCCGTACAGTTATTAGACTGACTGATAGGGAATATGGTTACATCAATGAATTAAGCATACTACGCTTTTAGTTTCAAATACAAAGCTTGGTTATTGATTCTGTAACAAGGTTCAAACCACAAATTTTTGTGAAGATGACAATTTTTTCCATTTTATATGCAACAGATAGGAAACACTAAATTTGACTCTAGAAAAGGGCGAAAGGTGAAAGTTGGTAGCCCTTTGAGACTTTCCTTTTTAAAAAAAAAATAAAATTAAATAACACTGTGCTAGTATAATTCTTTCTAATTGTTCCAACCAACCTACCACCAACTCATCTGCTCTTTAATAACAAATTAATTCACTTATTTACTAATTAGGCCCCAATACTTATTTAAAAACAAATTAATTAAGTCCAAATGCTTATTTTATAACAAATTAATTAAGCCCCAATGCTTGTTTACTACCAAATTAATTGAGCCCTAAAATTCTTTTCTCACTACAGCTATCATAGAGCCTTCAGACTTCATTACCCCAGCACGAAACAGTTCTTTTATGACTGACTTAATTCGTCTTATTTCACTAAACGTTTTTTTTTTTTTTGAATTTTTTTTATGGAGTTTCTTCTGCCTTCTGTTTAATGAGGTTGCTGAACAAGGTCGTTCTACTTTCTGAAGCATATGGTCCTGGTTTTTTTCAGCATGTTATTCTGGAAGTAATAAAGTGCCAATGAATAAAATTAGGACATTCATGTTGTGCTGGGTCCTATTTCCCTAACCTGCAATATTGCCGCTCAATTTCTTCTGGTGTTGATGTTGACTTGCCGATTCATTTTGAAAAGATGATGGTTAAATTGTCTTGTTGCTTGCAGATTGAGGGTTTTGGGGGGCAGGCTCTTACTTTTGGTGGAGATGTGTCAAAGGAGGCTGATGTGGATTCAATGATTAAGACAGTAAGCTACTTCACTCTTTCGACTAAACTAGTCTATATGCCATTTACTTGTTACTCACGTGCATGGTTGTCATTTGTACAGGCGATTGATGCTTGGGGAACCGTTGATATATTGATCAACAATGCAGGTGTGTAGCTTCAACATTCTCCAGCATCCTGGCTATTTAACTTGACTGCTCTTACCCATTGTTTTCATGGTAATCAGGAATCACTCGCGATGGTTTGATGATGAGAATGAAGACATCTCAATGGCAGGAGGTGATTGATCTGAATCTTACCGGTGTTTATCTTTGCACTCAGGCAGCATCCAAAGTTATGATGAAAAAGAAGAAGGTAAGCTCACCACCCTTGTATTTTTCAAATTAGAAGTAGGCAGCTGTGATCTTAAATCTTCTTTAACTTAAGATGCAATATGGTTTTAACTTTTCCTATTAGAATATCTGTAAATATTTACCACCTCCATAGAACGTTAACGCTCAAACTCTTTTAAAAAGTATATTCCCGATCCTATAATTCACTTAAGGTTTGAGTTGCCATTGTGTACATTAGCCAAAGTCCAGATGTTTTATTCTCTCCAATTACAAACCCTCCCTTAAACGAACGAGAAGGGAGAAATGGAAATGTCCTACTCACTTTGAGACTTTTTATTCAGGGAAGAATAATCAATATATCATCAGTTGTTGGCCTTATTGGAAATGCGGGCCAAGCGAACTACAGTGCCGCAAAGGCAGGAGTGATTGGTCTGACGAAGGCCGTTGCCAAGGAATATGCAAGCAGAAACATCAACGTAGGCTCTGCAATTTCAACTTCTTTAATAAGAATGGTTTCTTATGTATAATGCTGAAGGCTAGTGGACAATGTGAACCATCATAATAAAATTTTCTTCCAGGTTAATGCTGTTGCCCCTGGGTTTATTGCGTCCGACATGACTGCCAAGCTTGGGCCAGAGATTGAGAAGAAAATTATGGATTCCATCCCCATGGGTGAGTGCAGGAAACTCCTATATGATTGTTGTGATTCTAATGCTTCATAATAAGTTGTTTTGAAAAAATATATGATGATCGTAACAATATCTCAATTCCCCCTTGTTTCAGCAAGATATGGCCAACCCGAAGAAGTTGCTGGACTAGTTGAATTCTTGGCTCTTAACCCTGCAGCTAGTTACATTACAGGACAGGTGCGGAAAGTTGCATTTCCCATTTTCTTTTAATATCCGTTTTCCTTGCACGATTACAAGTAAGAGTTCCTTCTTCATTTCATCAATGTATGTTTGATCTGCAGGTTTTCACCATCGATGGCGGGATGGTTATGTAGGTCAGTTGTCATTTGCTCATATAATTTGGTTTTTTATTTTATTGTCAAACGATACGTGTTGCTTTCTGCCACTTCCTTTCTTTTAACCCCAGATTTTGTTGAAGCCTTTCGAGTTGCAATTATGATTTATAATTACAATTTCAATTTCTAAGAAATTTCTCTAGATCCCTTATCATTTGTATTACTTTTGCTTATAGTTCTATAATGACTTTCTAAATCATTCGATCTGTGTTCGAACAAACATCCTTGAGCTGCTTACGACACGTCACCACTGCAAGCATTCCAATTCGACCAGCTAATATCAGCCTCTTTTTTCTTTTTCATTCTAAGGACAGGTTATCTTCAGCTATTAATATTATGTATCAATTATTTGGTTCCACTGCTCACGTGAAGGACAATTGAATAGTTTCATGTATATATATATATATATGATGATGATGATGAAAAATAGTTTCAGTATAAATAAATACACCAACTCTATTCACAGCCACCAACCTTAGAGAAAAAGTCCAGCCGTGGGGCTGGACAATAGGTTCTCTGTTCGGTTTTATAT